GTGATTGAGACAGGTGATGTGTAATACTATGATGTGGTCGTGATATGGTTGTGATTGAGACAGGTGATGTGTAATACTATGATGTGGTCGTGATATGGTTGTGATTGAGACAGGTGATGTGTAATACTATGATGTGGTCGTGATATGGTTGTGATTGAGACAGGTGATGTGTAATACTATGATGTGGTCGTGATATGGTTGTGATTGAGACAGGTGATGTGTAATACTATGATGTGGTCGTGATATGGTTGTGATTGAGACAGGTGATGTGTAATACTATGATGTGGTCGTGATATGGTTGTGATTGAGACAGGTGATGTGTAATACTATGATGTGGTCGTGATATGGTTGTGATTGAGACAGGTGATGTGTAATACTATGATGTGGTCGTGATATGGTTGTGATTGAGACAGGTGATGTGTAATACTATGATGTGGTCGTGATATGGTTGTGATTGAGACAGGTGATGTGTAATACTATGATGTGGTCGTGATATGGTTGTGATTGAGACAGGTGATGTGTAATACTATGATGTGGTCGTGATTTGGTTGTGATTGAGACAGATGATGTGTAATACTATGATGTGATCGTGATATGATTGTGATTGATGACATGTGCATATTCATTATTCATCCCATGTGTGAACTATCTGTTGCATGAGTTCTGAGACACTGATATGAGGATGGATGGATATGAGACACAGTTGAGACTAGCTCCGGCTAGCGATTTGGATGCCGATGGGATCTGGTTCCGGCGGTGATACATGGTCCATGTGTGGCCCCCATGGGTTCTGATTTGAGTATTCAGCGCGGACTGATTACGTCAACAGATGTGTATCGTAGGACAGACATGCATCACGACTACATGACATCATTATTGCATTTTGCATCGCATTTGCCTTATCTTTGTCTGTGATGTGTGGATTGTATCGGTTTACCCTTCTTATGTGGAATTTGATCTACTTGCTCTTATTTGTTGATCTGAGGTTGATGAGGATATACTGTTGGTTCTGGCTGTTGAATATGATCTGTTTAGTATAGGTTGGTTGGTTTGCTGTTAGATTGAAGCTTTGGTGGTTGGGTTGGGATTGAAAGGAGTTGTTTGTAGCTGCTAGTTTAGCTTAGTTTAGTGTTACTTGCGAGTACCTGTGGTTTTCGGTACTCACCCTTGCTTCTACACAATTGTGTAGGTTGACAGCTCTCTCAGATTCGGCTTAGTATTTTCTTTAGCAGATTGAGCTTTGGGACATACTCGAGAGGTAGCGGTTCATTCCAGACGTGCCCTTGAGTTATCTTTACTTTCAGTTTTGTTCTATTCGAGAACTATACTCTGAGACTTGTATATTTTTATTCGAATTCTGTATTTAGAGGTTTGTACATGTGACAACCAATTCTGGGTAGTGTTGAGTCTTAATTAAAGTCTTCCGCTTATTTATTATCTTTTATTCTCGTATTTCTACTTCTCTATCGTTGTGGTTGGATTAGGCTGACGTGTCCGGTGGGAAATGGACACGTGCCATCACATCCGGATTTGGGGTGTGACATTACTGGAGCAAGCAAAAGAACATGTTCTCATACAATGCCTTCAAATTTGTAAGGAAAATTATGATAATGCGATAGATGATGCTACATCAGCAATTAAATATTTTGATGCAAATGACTTTTTGGCGGCAAGGACTTTTACTACTGCTATTGCGAGTGCTCCAGACACTTGTGAAGAAACATTTATTGAACCACCTGTCAGGATATCCCCAATAAAATCAAAAGATGATGATTTTATGAATTTAATTGGTTTAACCATGAGTTTGTTAAATCAATTCAAAAATTAATATGTAATCAACAATTCATCATTCTCATTCAACTTGTAAGATGTTGTCATGAGTCATTTTGATTCATGCTAAGGTTTATTTACGAGTTATTTGGCTCCTGACACTTGTGAAGAAACATTTAATGAATCTGTCAAGATATCTCCAATAAAATCAAAAGATGATGATTTTATGAATTTTATAAATTTAACCGCGAGTTTGATAAATCAATTCGGAAATTAATATGTAATCAACATTCTCATTCAACTTATAAGTTGTTGTCCTGAGTCATTATGATTTATGCCCAGGTTTATTTTGCAAGTTATTTGGCCTCTCATTTTTTTGGTTTTGTTACCTAATTACCTTCACTTTCATTTTTTATGCTAACTATAATCTTCCTATCTTTATAGGACGACACACAAACATATATATGTTCTTGATTAATTCTCAAAGAAGATTTATATTGTTTTAACGGAATATTAAATGTAAAAATTACAGGAATTATAGTGTAATGAGTAAATTACATTATACCCTACCCTTTTCAATTTTACAAAAAATTCTTCAAAAATCAGACATCCGGATAAATAAGATTCATCCGGATACATAACCTATTGCGCTTAAAAAAAAATCTAAACGTAAAATTAATTTTCAGTCTCACGAATCACGCAAAACAAATTGATATCAATCTATTTCAAATCATAACAACTTCAGAGTATTCAAAATTCAAATTTTCTTCTCCTTCATCTATCCCAAATCGTAACATATCCAAATAAACGAACTGATACATGATGAATATATGGTAAACCTATATTACAAGTTATAAATACACTTTTTAATAATTATTAAAAATAACAGTTTAATTACAAGTCCTAACATATTAGAATTATTTTATATTAAATTAATTATTTATTCTTATGGTAAATTTTCACTAAATAAAGATGTGTATATGTTTAATTTTTTCTTATAATAATCAATTCAGCCCTTATTACTTAAAATCCAAAATATCAGCCAAATAATTGGCCCAAATCCACGGCCAATTCATTTATTTTGGTTTTATAAGCCTGTGACTCTTTTGTTTTGATTGATATATTACTGCTATAATGCATAAAATGAACTATATAAAATGAACACTCATTTTTAAGTTTAAGTTATGTTTCTCTTGGTCATCCTAAGAGTCATTCTAACCACATTATTTAGTGTCCGCTACATTTTGACACAATGAGTTTCTGTTAATATGTACCTTTTTAAGCTTTAATGCTCAGTCGATTAGTTGGACAATGGCAACAATAAATTACTTGAAGAAGGAATTTAAAATTAGTTTGACGAAGAAAAAAAAACAAGAAACGTACATAGTAGTATTATTTTTATAATCTGATAATAACTACTAGGAATACATACAACTTATTGTTGTTCAAGATAAATCTAGGTAATGAGGGATATTGACGGGAATTCACTGGTCGCCATTTATAAAGTTTCTAACCGTGAATTTTGATGCAATATCTGGATCACTAGTGATGGATGTTCATGTCACACGTCCCTTCGTAACAGCACCCGGTCCTCTATTTTTGTACTCCAGATAATATGGTCGGCGGCTATCGGATTTATTTGCCGAATCAATCCATTCAACCCATCGTCTAGGATCTATCAAGTTACCGATGTAACTTTCCATTATCACAATCCTAGAAAATATACCCCATGGCCGACCTAACTACATTGTGACATTGTCCGATTTCTCCAAATCGACGGTAGCCTTTATAGAGCAATTTTGAAGCACTGTTTCACTTTTTAAGGCCTCGAAATCTCTTTTCTGCGCTGTGATTGTGTTATATTGCCTTGCCATTGGAGTGCGTGCTTCAATCAAGCAGTTTTGGAACATGGATGTCGCGTCACCACATATGAAATCTATTGTGCCATAGATTTCACAGTCTCGGTAGAATTGACGTTGCTTTTTTGCATACAAAGTGTCTTGATACCCGTCGAATCGACATTTATAAAAGGACACCGAATCTGCTTCAACTCTTAATGCCACTGCCTGATGCTTTATGGGTCCGGCATTATTCCTAAAAGTTACGTCTTGGGCTGTGAAGCCATTGCCAAGAACCCCTACAAATTAAATTATAAGAAACAATTATAATTCATCAAAACTAATAAAAATAATATATATAGAGAGAGACGGACTTACCCACGGTTGCGGTGTCATAGGTTTATTACCGTTGACAAAACTTCTATTACCCGTTATAATCGTAGTGTCCATACCTTCTCCGATCAGGATTATATTAGTCTTTTTTTTATCAACTCTAATATATTCCTGATACGTGCCTTTCTTAATTTTTATAAAGAATGGCTTGACACTGTGATCAGGGGCCACCAATATTGCTCCAGCAATTGTGTTGAAATTACTGGTTCCATCTTTAGAAACAACCGTGTTATAAGGTGTTTCCGTTATCAGTTGGCTTTGAACACATACAACGATAGTTGCGGCGACAAACAACGTCATTACATTCCATGCATTAAAAAATTTAAAAAGTCTACAATCTAGAGATATGGAAGAAGGATACCGTAAAAACTATCCGTGAAGGCCATTGCAAAGTTGATGAACATGCAGTAGTTCTTCTTGGTAGTGTAAGAGTTCTATTTCTTAATATTGTAGTATTGTCCAAGCTTAACCATCCCCCTCCTTTATATTGTAGTAAACGTTTACTCTTTCTTGCGTGTTTAAATTTTTGCATACATTTGTAAAATGTCATTTTTAAAGGCTCATTTATTGGATAAGCAAATGTCATCTTTATTTCATTGAATTTTTCTACCATTTGAACAATTACTTACCTAGGTAATATGTAATTGTAGTAACATTTAGTCCTTAGCTTAATTATGGTATTGCTTTCTTCTTATTATCTCTTCTTATTTGGAGGGAATCAACTTGTGACTTTTATGAAATTTTTATTTTGTGAAAATACAATCTTGTACTTTCTTCATTTCTTTTTAAATGATATTTTAGCTTTTGTAATATCCTCTAAAATAAGTGACTTTTTTAAGATATCAAGAACATATTATTTTTTGTTTTTTTTTTTTCAAAGTTAATCTTTACCTAAAATGCACAAGAAATTTTTAAGAAGCTAGATGGAGTAGGGAAAAAGGGGAAGGAATTACATGTTATAAATGACAACAAAGCGTAAAGTAAAGTAGGTTAATATTAGTCTTTCTTTCTATTTTCTCCTTCGATTTATCATCTTGTAATCATTTCGTATTTAAATTTCTATATTTTGAATTCCTTGATAAATTGTTTTTGTCTCCATCACTAATGAGGACCGCTCGATGCGCCAAAGATTGGCGGATCTTTGCCTATAAGTCATATTAACCTTTTAGTAGTTGATCACGAATAAAAAAGTCTAAATTTTTTTTAGTACAATTCTGTAATCTTTCTTCTTTCTCAGATGGGTTTCTTAGATGTTAAGCACCCTACAATCTTAAAGTTATGGGTTAGAGTCATAAAAGAAGTAAAAAGATAGTAATGTGTTAATATTTGTGTCCATTAAACTTGTAATAACGTGGCTTTCATTTCACCTTATATTTATAATTGAACTCGTTGCTTTTTTAACCCCTCATGTCTATACGATTTGTTAATTTACTCCATAACTTTTCATCTTTTTACAGTATCACTCTTTATATTAATAGTAAAGGAATACTCTTATCTTACACGTTAATTTCAAATTTACACCCATCTGAGAATTGAGTTATTGGATAACGCAAAAGATAGATTAGTTGAAGAGCAAACGTCCAAGCAAAGTACAAGCTGGAGTGACTCACTATATGTTCCCCTATAAATAGTGTTTTTGCTAAAGAATAAGAATGCATATATATTAGTAAATGTCTAGCATGAACACTCCAAATTTAGTTTACCTATAAATAGGTGAATTATTATCATACCTTAAAAAGAGTATGTTATATTGTTGATAGTCACAATCATGTGACACAACTTTGATACAAAAGTTGTGAAAAAATTCATGATTTCCAAGTGAAAATGACAAAGGGAACATATATATATATATTAAAGTTCTTACTAAGAAAGAATATTTAGACACGATTAAGATTCAAGTGAACGGTAATTTGATGACGTCGCTCAATACATGAATAACAATTATTAATTGGGGGAAAATATTCTTATAAATAGTGTTTTCGCTAAAAGATAAGTGTATAATTTAGATTAAAACAAACATATAGATACACTACATTGATTTTGCATAAAATTTAAATTTAAGGTAATAATATATACTTTACATTTATCTACAATTCTATGTATGAAACATTGGTGATATAGTTAATTGTGCAATTCTATTACTAGTTCATTCCTACGAAGCTTGTTTCACATTTATCAACGTTTTCTCTTATCTATCTAATAATAATAGGTAAACTTAGAAAATAGTAAGTGGATAACATTTAATTATATTATATAGTTTCAACTTTCAATTTTTAACTTCTATAGTCATATTTCAGAGGAAAATTATAATTAATTAGTATAACGTTGCTAAGGATTTGAAAGCTCAAATTGAACTTTGGTCACGATAGTAACCAAGATTTAATTAATTTGTTACTTGTTGCTTTCAGTTACCTCAGTTGACCTTATTGCTAGTGAAGTTTCTAAATAACACTCAATCTCAAATATTAAATAAAACACTAATGACATTGATATCTATATAAAATTACCTAATATGCATTTGTTTCTAGCTATGAAGAAAACTATTATTGGTCACATAAAAATAATATGTCAAAATTGGCTAAAGAAAACTATTGGTCACATGAAAATTAAAATACCAAAATTGCGGGGAAAACTGATAAAATGGTGTCTTTTCTTTTGTACTACTAGATTTAATTAATTCTTTAGGTATCATTTGAGCAATTTTGATCATTTAAGGGATTGATTCGGATAATATGAAGGTAAGAAGACTGTTTAGAATAGACCTTTGACTCAAGTTGAGAATAATAAAATCACTTTTTAAAAAGAAAAAAAATAAAGTGAAATGCCATATAGAATAAAATGGAGAAAATTGTAGTAGCAATAATAAATAATATGATAATCAAAGCAAATTAGACAACAACAATAATAAAATCAAAGATAACAGGAAAATAATAGTAAATATATATCCCTCCATATCATATCACTACTACTAATTTAGCATGACTAGGACCACCACCAACGCCACCAACTACATCAACTCCATCATACAAATATAGAGGTTGTGTTTAAATATTTTTCTTTAATCCTAGTAAAATACAAGTCATGCAACTATCTAAGGTGTTATTTACTAAAATAATATAAAATATGAAATAAGGGTGATGGTCCTTAATTGTCGAAACATTATCATTGAGATGATGATCTTTAGGTGTACTATTCATACTATACTAAATCATAAAACTGACAATTTTATTCTTATTTTCTGATATTGTACATAATATTTTTGAGTAATAGTTACTGTAGTGATTTAACTATAGTTATTCCAACTTTAAATAGATCGATGATCACTTAGTTATGACATTATATATCACCGATAGATCAAAAGATAGATTATTCAGTAGTAGTGGATTTTGTGTTACTAGGGTGAAAGTTTTGCAATTTTTCTGTTAGAAAACTTAATTATGTTACTTTAGTAAAAAGACATCATAGATTGTACTGGTTGAAATAATTTAATCTATGATCGTGTTAAAATTTAAGACAAAATATACCTAATCAATAATATTGGAAATTAATATTTGAAAAATGTCATTTTTACTGCTCCTTCCCTAGAAAGCCAAATGTCATTTTCATTTTCTTGGTTTTTGTAGCATTTGGACCATTTCTTATAGAGCTCGTGAGTTTTATAAATTTACACATTGGGTTTATATCAAGTCTCGAATCATTTCAAAAGGAATTTTGAGAGAATATGAAAATCCTTTACAATTTTGCTATCCTAGCTTTAAAATCACCAGCTGAAAAGTTGAATGAAATGAGCTGAAGATATTGAATGAAATAGCTTTCAAAAACACATAGTAATTTCACTCGAACTTAGATACGTAAAGAAGGAGTTGAACGAAACGAAAAGAGATATTTTTTAATGAAAGATGCCACAAAGCTACTATAGTTATTACATATTTGATCTTCTTTCGGTGTCAATAAGATTCAACATTTAATAGATAAATATATAAAATTTAACCCTACATATACAATGTATTTAAATTTTTTTTTATTCTCTTTTTGGATCTCCACCCACAAAATAAGGTACAAAAACAGGATACGTCACTTTCATGTTGATTCGTCACCTAGAAGCTCTTTATGCACGGTCCTAAATTAATCTAAGAGTGTCAATTAGGCCGAGTCTGTCATGCCTCGAGCCTACATCCTAGGGGGGACTGACACTCGTCTATGTAATAAACTGGAATGTTATAAAGGAAACATTCAACTGGCCATTAAGGCAAACTTAAGACTTAACATAAGATAATGACAATGAAAACACTAAAAAACTAACATTTGACTGTCTATTAAGCCTCTAAAACAACTGAATTGGATGTCGGGAAAAACCCCACGACATCCTAATGAACTAATGAAATAACTGAAAGCAATAAAAAGGAGTCCTCCGAAATGCAAGGAGGCTCACCAACTGACTCTGGAGTGCTCACTGGATCAACGATGCGCTGGATGCCGATCCTAGTTACCTGTGTTTGCATCATAATAAGATGCAGGCAAACTTGCATCAGTACATTGAATGTACGAGTATGCGAGTTGGAATGCTAAACACAACATAGGCTTGAAAGGAATCTGAAGAACTTACCTGGCTCAACTCAACTCAACATAACTAAACTCATTTCAATATAAAGCAGTTTAAAACAAGTGCAATATAAAGAAAAGTTGTTTAAAACATAATGTCAACTCTATGTGTATGCAAAGATACACTAAAACTCTCAAAATGTATGTAAAAATACAATAAACTGTGTATATAAGAATACAATTACTTCTGTGGGAGTTTCTCTAACCGACAACCATCAAGTAAGAGCTATTGTGATGATACAACGTTTTGCCTTACGCTGTTAGGGTTGTCCTATACCTTGACGGGGGTATAGAACCTGAACTACTAAGTGGATCCACTAGTCTATGCTAAAAAGACACTAAAGGAATCATCTAAAAAGTATGACCATTTTCTACCTATGATGGCTACATGGTTTATGGGGGGCTGTGAGTTGTCTAAACTCTCCCCCAGATCGGTGCTCAATACTACTCCCAAAAATATAATATTAGCTCTTATATTTAAAAACATACTTCTTTCTGTGATTTGAGATTAGTGCTCAAAAACTTAGCTCAAAGGCTATCTTGGAAATCAAAGTTTCCTCTTTTGCTTCATTAAGAAAGCGATTTCTCTTTTCTGAAAACTAGCCCGAAGGCTCTTTGGAAATCGAGGTTTCCTTTCTTGTTTAAATTTGAAAACATTTTAAACCCTTTAGGAATACATATTCCCTATATACTTTTGA